AGAAACCAGATAAGCTGTTTCTATGCATAGTTCTTTCTCCAGTTATGGATAAAGTAGGAGAAGACTGCATGTTAAGTTGGGTAGCGTTAGTGTTTTCAATAACGCTCTTGCATTTTAAAGAACCGTGCACTATAACACCGTTGTGGTTTTTTCTTGAATGTTTCGCGCTCGTTCGGTTATCAGAAGGATTGGGAAAGGCTAAGCGTCTTCCTTTGCAGCAGAAGATGGATCGGAAAAGTCGAGCATACCCATGACGAAACTGCCCGGTTAAAGAACCATATGCAATCGGGTTCACGCATGCGTGTAGGAATAGCAACGCCTCTGCGCATGTCCAAAAAGCTTTAGTGAGCCCTGTATACGAGGCACCTCCAAAATCTAAAAGCACCCACGCAATTTGATTGGGTAACATACAGGCCATAAACAGAGTCACAATAACCGCCAGAGTTCGGATAATTTGAATGTTTTCGCTCCTGGTCTTCTGTCTGATAACCTGACCACGAGAGTTTATTGAAGTTCGCATTGGTAACCGGGAAGTGATTAAACGCATGGTGATTCTCAGGTACGCAATAGCGATTATGGATAGAGGCAGCACGTATTGAAATGCAAATAGTACTGCAGTGTAGGCCTGGCGATATGCAAACTTCGGCCAATGTTCGGAGAGGGGGCTGAGGTGGCGCAGTAAGGCTATCACGGTTAGCAAACCAGTCTTTTCTTAGTTATTGATTCAAAATAGACTTCCGATCATACGCGCTCACATTTCACCGACATCCTCACTTTCCTTTTGATTGACACGCGGTCTGCGCTACACGGGTGGAGTGTGAATTAATTGATTTTACGATTTTACTTTTTTCTGCATGAGGATCCACTCTTCAGGAATGATTACAATGCATAATTGGTACTTTCCTTAGGTTTATTTTTTAGACTCTTTGTGCTCGTTAAGTTTCTGTTTCATTTCGAGTGCCTCATGTGGTAACGCTCCAAATACGATCAGAATTCGTAGCGAGTTGTGCCCAAATATATTTATCTTTTTTTACAAAATTAATATTTTACGAAAATCCTCGTGTTGAAATTCGTTGGGTTTTTCGTACCAAAATTATCAAAAACTGAATTCATGTTAACATTGTATTCGATATTGCTTAAATATTTGAAAATTTCTGTCATTAGGTATTCATAATGTGTTTTAGGTTTGCTTCTTATTAGTCGGGAAAATCTCTCGCTAATTAATTTGCTTAGAAAACTCTGAACTCGTAGTTTAAATATCAAAAGACTATCAAACAGCTTCCTTGAAAACCACTACATTTAATTTGGAACACCTCTCAGGGGCGTAGCCGGGATTTTCCAAAGGGAGGGTCACAGAAACTACTCACCATTTACACCGCTGGTCTCCCGCGTGTATCAGCGGGCTCAGTCGTATTATTTCGGCATGAAGGCCCATATTAACTAAATACAAGAGCCGTTGACGAAAATACTTCACAAAAAAAAACAAATTTTAAAAAAGTGGGCTTTTCAACAATGGCTTTTTCGGCCAAAATATTGTCATGGCGTTTTCGCCACCTGAATATTGTAAGTTGTTTGCTCTAAAGAAGGCCTACCAAGGGGGGTCACGGGCATTCCAGGATCCCCCCTGGCTACGCCCTTGCCTCTACATCCGCCCATTCATATATATTCAGCAAAACCTTCCGTATAAATCTAAAGAGCAGCACAACTGTATGCATGTAATTATCTAATCATGTATTCATTTTATTTTGCACAAATACCGGTACGCAGAGCGAACCTCTTTTTCATCGCTATTTTCATTATCAGTTTATTTAGAAGTATTTCATAATTTTTAATGATCGATGGTATTACTAGGTAGGTCTTTTGTGTTTGATTGGAGGAAGACTATGACCTCTAACGGCACACTCTCGAGGAATGATTACTTGCTTGATGTTTGTTATTTGTAGGGATTGGTGTTCATTTTGTTAGGCACCATTTTGATGCAAATGCACTTGAATATTGGCTATCGATCATTTGAGCAATTTCAATTGAGTATCGAAACTGATGCATAACTGCTTTGGCTTTGCTTCACCTAGCTCAGCGATTGGTCTAGATGACTCACGCCACCCTATCCATTAACCAATCAGATTTAAAACTAGAACTAATCCCAACTTGGTAACTCGCGTTTTTACTCGCTTCAAGCAGGTTGCCTGTTTTTACTTCGAGTTCTAGCTGGTTAATGCTAATGTTAAGCATTTTCTTATTGGTAGCTATACGTAATTACTTTGGTTTCGGCTTTCAACGCTCAATTGAAAATGCTCTTACTTGCAAATTGAGGAGCTTTCATTCGTCATCTAAACGTCAGGTCTTAAAATATTCCTAATTACGATTAATTAATTGCTCTTGTTGATTAATGGCTCAGCTTGCTTGTTTCGTTCACAGCCAATTTTTACGGCGTGGCCACATAAGTAGGGAATTGATGTTGATCGTTGATGTCTGTCATTGGTCAAAAAAAAACGCGCGCCATCTTCCTAGCCAAACCACTCCAAAAACAATCCATTCGTGACTTGGTTACATTCTCGAGTTAACGAGGTTTCTTTCATGACACACGGCCTCTATTCACTTCGAGTTCTCATCGAATCTCTGTGTTATCCAACCCTTCCCTTTCTGGTAGTTGTGACTAGCTTTCTTTTAATTTTTCGAAACCCATTGGAAATAGGCTCTTATTCATGGTTTCACTCAGCAAATTCTAAGAGAGGAGATTCTTAAATTGTATGAAAGATATGACAGATGTTATTTAAAATCTTGTTTCTTTAACACTATTTTCCTCATCAGATGCTTCCAAGGCAGAGTTTGTATACGACAAACTCGTTTCTGCTTTGGCTTCGCGATCTCTCGTTTCGTTTGTATTTGTCACATCTATGTTCGTGGTCTTTAAAATCTGAGGAAAGAAACCAGATAAGCTGTTTCTATGCATAGTTCTTTCTCCAGTTATGGATAAAGTAGGAGAAGACTGCATGTTAAGTTGGGTAGCGTTAGTGTTTTCAATAACGCTCTTGCATTTTAAAGAACCGTGCACTATAACACCGTTGTGGTTTTTTCTTGAATGTTTCGCGCTCGTTCGGTTATCAGAAGGATTGGGAAAGGCTAAGCGTCTTCCTTTGCAGCAGAAGATGGATCGGAAAAGTCGAGCATACCCATGACGAAACTGCCCGGTTAAAGAACCATATGCAATCGGGTTCACGCATGCGTGTAGGAATAGCAACGCCTCTGCGCATGTCCAAAAAGCTTTAGTGAGCCCTGTATACGAGGCACCTCCAAAATCTAAAAGCACCCACGCAATTTGATTGGGTAACATACAGGCCATAAACAGAGTCACAATAACCGCCAGAGTTCTGATAATTTGAATGTTTTCGCTCCTGGTCTTCTGTCTGATAACCTGACCACGAGAGTTTATTGAAGTTCGCATTGGTAACCGGGAAGTGATTAAACGCATGGTGATTCTCAGGTACGCAATGGCGATTATGGATAGAGGCAGCACGTATTGAAATGCAAATAGTACTGCAGTGTAGGCCTGGCGATATGCAAACTTCGGCCAATGTTCAGTACAAAGAACACCCCCCGAACGCGCCGCAATGATTAGCGGAACAATCGTGAAGAAGGCGAAGATCCATATAAGGAAAATCCATATCAATGTGGCCTGCAGCTTGATTCTTGGTTGCAAAGGATTTGTGATCCCTCGACACCGTTCAATTGCCATTGAAGTTAACGTGAAAACACTCACAGACAGAGTAACCGACATCATTGGCCAAATCAGTTTGCAATAAAATAAATTCTTGTTAAACGGATGATAAAGGTCGTACGTATAGAAAGGTAGGGACAACCATAAGAAAGCTAAATCTGCCACTGCTAGATTTAAAATGAAGTAGTCATTTATAGTTCGTCTGTTTTTTAATTTCCTTTTTACAACCAAGATGACCAGAAGGTTTCCCAAGGATCCAAAAATGAACAGACAGCAATAGAAGACAACTTTAAAGGTGCGTTCAGCCTCACTCAGACTTGGTGTTCCTTCTTCAGTTTGATTGCTGCTCTCAGAGATGTTGGTGTTATCTTCGCTCATTTCATTAGCAGGCTTTTCCAAATGTCTGTCTTCACTTGAGTAGGGATTGCAGTTTTGTTTTTGTAACTCAGGAATCTTAATTGTGATCTTCTCAAGAGCTGGATTGTGTTGGCTATTTCGTCTTGCTACAAGTAAAAGCAAATAAGTTACTAAACAGAACCAGGAGCGTAGTACCTAATATAATAATTCATATTTCCTCCTTGGGCGGACAGATGAATCCCTCATTGGCCAAAAGCTGTCATCATATGAGTCTTACGAATGAAAATTATATCGTGTCTTACGCGTGAGTTCCTCTTCAGGAACAAATACACCATTTAAAGAATTGTCATGCGGATGTGCTTCTTAATTTCTTAGCCAACGAAAAGGAAATTTTGTCACTGTGTAAATAAAAAACCTTTTAACCTGAGATAGTCTTTGAAGTGCACACTTCCTACGACGGTAACTTCACGAATATTACTGGAGAGAAATTACTAAGAATTATCAGAAAAATATGAAGAAGGAACTAGGGCATTTTTTTTTTTGTCGATCTTTTTCAGGTAATTTTTCAAGTAACTTCGTCTTTTCAACAGTATCAACCCATGCATTTTACAAAGGCGAATACAAGTCGGATGAAACACTATACGGGTGCATTAGCTGACAATGCGAAATAGAGCAATTTTCACTGGCGTGTCGAATAGAATCCTTGATAATCCCGTTGGTTTCGCTTTACCTCGCTCTGCTATTGGTGTGGAAAACTCCCGCCATCTCGCAACCAATCAGGATTGACGACTAGAGCCAATCAGGAACTTTGAACATTTTCCCGCGCTTGAAGGAGTTTGCAATGAACCCTCATCACGATTCGATTACTGTTTCTTGATTGGCCGTCGTGAATATTTTGGTTTTGCTTTAATGTTCAGTCGAACAGTGTGCTCATTTAGGGTAACGAAGTATAGGTTTAACTAAACGTAAGTGCAAAATTCAAAATGATTCATCTTTAATCAGTTTCCTGTTTGGAGTTTTTTTGTACAAGGCGACAGGATTTAGACAAATATTGGCAGACTTGATGTGCAGTATAATTATTAAAAGAAGCAAGACGAGGCAAGTGGCAAAAATAACTGCGGAAGGTTATTAAGTCGATCTTTGGGAACAAATTTCAATTTTTATCTCTCGGTCCCACTGATAAAGCTAAAAATTATCGCAAACAAAGATGAACAACGATAAATTTGGCACGTATTTGTGTCCAGCTGCGTTAGTCTCATCCCCAAGTAGGGAGCGTTCTAATCACTAAGGTTCGTTAAGGACCTTCGAAGCCTTTTTAATTGGTTTTTTTCCTGAAGAATTTTATGATAGGAGGAAAGGGCAGCTTGTTTTACTTCACAATTTTTTACAATAATCTTTTCATCAAAGTGAAACCATGATAAACTCGTAAAAACATACAAAAAGCGAGAGGCCATTGGTAAGCGCTTGCTTTAACTATTAGTAACCGCCGCTTGAAGTGTCAATTAGGGAAAATTTAACTGAACTTGTAATGACATTTATGTTCTGATAAAACTGGTAAAATATTGATCAGAATGGAAGGTGAGCTAAGGTGAATAATATTTATCTAAGCTGTTGGCGTCACTCGGTAGACATAACGTCACCCTTTGCTTATGCTGCCTTCATTTGATTGAAGTTTTGTGCACGATAGGTTTTTTCTCTGTTTGGGGCACTTATGATAAACTTGATTAAAAAATGCTTACGTTTTACACTTTCGCATGAAATTCAAAGAGGATTGTAGCTTCAACTACCGCACCTTTTTCGATGAGCAACTGGAAGGGTCTACAAAGTAATTTTCCTTTTCACCGTTTTTAGACTTTTTAGGAGTTCATCAAAACAAAGAAAACCTTATAATTCGCCTTTCGAACTTGAACCAGTTGAAAGTCCTTCTTTAAATTCCATTACGAGGGATAAGGCTTGGCTGCGTGACTCCGGCGGGAGTATAGTCTCCCTCGCAGCCGTTTTTTTTGGATGTCACGCAACGCTCCCCCAAAAGAACGGCTGCTGACAACCGAACTACATTCCTTTCTCATTGTCCTTGCGGTTTGGTCGCGGTCTATTGAACAGACCAATCACATACCAGAAAATCTGAATGACGTAAGGTTTCACGCGAAAATGTGGATCTTGGGAGAAACACTGAGAAATTTGTCGATGAGACCTCGAAATGTTTCACATGTTCATCGTTGTGCCCCGGTAAAGATAGAGTATATATTTTTGGGAAAACTTCTCACAATTTCGTTGAAATTATAGAATCTACGCTAAACATAGACGTCAACTGCTACGCCAGCGACACGAACGCTAGATTGTTTCAGCAGTTGTTAAAGTTTCAGCGAGCAACTGAGAAAGTAGAAGCTAAAAACTGAACTGAAACTCTTTATTCGCACTATTTCAAGAGGTTACTACAGATTATAAAAGTCAGAATATATAAGAAACAGTAAATTACATCAATAATCAAAAGGAAATACAAGACGCCTTTCAATCTAGGCAAGGGCTAAACGCTTGCTTCGACCTACAGATGGAGATCAGGAGGAAAAAAGCGCGTGCTTGCCGTCAACAAACCGGGCGAAGCTTCGAGAACACTGCAATTTAGGTCGGCCAACGTCTCCTACACTACTTGTACTTCTTCATTTGCCAGTCTGCGTGCAAGCTGGAGCGAACCCGATTAGTTATGTTCGTGGCTTCTTATCACCGGTACAGGAAATCGGCCCGAATTATCAAGTGTTTCCGCACGTTGGTACAACGCAACAACAATAACAATAATATGACCACTTTCATCGGTAACATGGTCAAACACGAGCGGGAGTGCTTGTTATATTAACGATTTCCCGGATCCTGTAGGCAACTTAACAAAAACATCTTCTTTCTCGACTAAAACTTTTTTAATTGCAAGCTTCTGGTGAGCTTTAAGCTCGAAAATTTTGAACTTTGACGACGCTTTGCGAAAAGCTCCTTCAAGCACCGCCATTTGTCTTGTGTTTTCCACATGAGGATCGCGATAGAAAACGATATCTGATTGGACGAGTCTCAAAAGGTGAGTCTGGCGCGAAAAGGTTCCTGAAAATGGAACCCGAGCTGTGATTGGCCAATTCGGAAAAAGGAATGTAGTTCAGTTGTCAGCAGCCGTTCTTTTGGGGGAGCGTTGCGTGACATCCAAAAAAAACGGCTGCGAGGGAGACTAGTCCGAGTTGTGTCGACGTCGAAACAGATGTTTTCTCTGTGGCAATATTATTGCAAATGAAGATCAACAGTAGATTTCAGTTTGCGCATTTTAATTAGGAAATAAGGAACAAGGATATCTTAAGTTAAAGCGGTGTCAACCAAAGATAATCATCAAAACAGAAAGTTGGTTAACAATAAGCTATAACAGCAAGTTGAAAATAATTTTCAATTAACTCAAAACTGTTTGGAAGGGAAAAACTGTTTCAATAAACTGCTTTTAGTTGAGACTCAATTGATGCTAAACCAGATGGTTGCAGGTCCACGATTAACTTTCCTTCTTATTGGCTTGCTTCGAAGTAAATTAACTGAAAAATTTAATGGGAAATGGTAACTGGATTACGAAATGTATTTTTTTACGAAAAATACTCGTCATCTTCTTCCTTTTAGTTGTTCTTATCATCAAGGAACGAAGTTTTATTTTTCGCGACTCCACAATTTGCTTGTAAAAGATCAATTTATTGGCAGAGGGACAAATTGAGAAAGGTATCATCATTTTCTTTTTCTTGTTCTGGTTTAGTTCGGATGACTAAAACATGCTTCATCTCTGTATGATACAGTTGATAAATTGTTGATGATGTGCTGTGTATAATTAATCTTTGCTGGTGATCATCATCCATTTTATTTCTATTCAGAGTTTTTCTGTTCCATTGTTGTGCTCCGTCTTTTCGTTTTTCGATGATTCTTTTAAAAAATTATTCTGATATCATGAGAGGCATTCCGGTCTAGGGATGGCTACGATAAACTTTAGATGTTGAGAGCGATAGTATAATCTTCGCTGTATGGCAAAACTTTACCAGGTACTTTGGCTCTGTATGCCCTATTTGTAATTGATGCTTCATGAATTAGCATTAATCTAGGTCTAAGTGATCGTCAGAGTTACATCATTTTGGCCCGTTCAAATGTTTCACGGAAGCATTTCCTCGTAAAAAAGTTATTGAAAGAAAAAAAAAAAGCAGCGCCGGTAAAAATAGAGAAAATATTAAAAATATGTAGATATTTAGGAGATATCTTGCAATTTTGTGGTGGTTCCTTTTTTGTCAAGGGACTGACACTCAAAATGCGCTAGTACACGTATCTAATAAAAAGACCATGTTGGATGTTTTTCCTCTCAGCACCTGCCAATTGAATTAACTATGATGCATTTCGTTTTTAACGCTTCTGGATTCTTTACTACTTCTAAAAATTTTGAATGAAAAAATAAAAAGGGAATCGATTAACTCACAAAAAGAAAACTAAATCAAGCAAAAAATTAAAAAAAGAAAAGAAACAAAGCGAAATGATTATAAAAGTCAGAATATATAAGAAACAGTAAATTACATCAATAATCAAAAGGAAATACAAGACGCCTTTCAATCTAGGCCAAGGGCTAAACGCTTGCTTCGACCTACAGATGGAGATCAGGAGGAAAAAAGCGCGTGCTTGCCGTCAACAAACCGGGCGAAGCTTCGAGAACACTGCAATTTAGGTCGGCCAACGTCTCCTACACTACTTGTACTTCTTCATTTGCCAGTCCGCTGCTAGCTGGAGCGAACCCGATTAGTTATGTTCGTGGCTTCTTATCACCGGTACAGGAAATCGGCCCGAATTATCGAGTGTTTCCGCACGTTGGTACAACGCAACAACAATAACAATAATATGACCACTTTCATCGGTAACATGGTCAAACACGAGCGGGAGTGCTTGATATATTAACGATTTCCCGGATCCTGTAGGCAACTTAACAAAAACATCTTCTTTCTCGACTAAAACTTTTTTAATTGCAAGCTTCTGGTGAGCTTTAAGCTCGAAAATTTTGAACTTTGACGACGTTTAGCGAAAAGCTCCTTCAAGCACCACCATTTGTCTTGTGTTTTCCACATGAGGATCGCGAGAGAAAACGATATCTGATTGGACGAGTCTCAAAAGGTGAGTCTGGCGCGAAAAGGTTCCTGAAAATGGAACCCGAGCTGTGATTGGCCAGTTCGGAGAAAGGAATGTAGTTCGGTTGTTAGCAGCCGTTCTTTTAGGGGAGCGTTGCGTGACATCCAAAAAAAACGGCTGCGAGGGAGACTAGCGGGAGTATGGACCGAGGTAATTTGCTACTGTCACCTGACCAAAAACTAACCTCGATTTCATGAACACTTAGCTCGAGAGAGTGGAAACAAATTTTAGGTTCTTATCAACGTCACAGAGGATGTGGAGTATTATCAGGCGGGAATTTACCAAACGGCAGACCAGAGGAATAAATACGTATAACAAATAGCGAAAAGCTGTTACAAGAAATATCTCTCAGTCGCCTCGGGGTGATATTTGGACGTGGAGTTAATTATTTCCCTGTCTTTTCTTTAAGTACTTCTTTGAAAGACATCAACGCAAACGGACAGACGGTTTCTTTCGACGTGGCAAACAACATTCTTAAATTTTGCCCGGAAGGGGTAAGAATTTATTTTGGATATCTTTGTGGTTTTTCAAACGGAACTTCAGCTGTAGGTAAGTTCAAATTTGAAGAATTAGAAACAAAATGAAACTTCGAAACAGTGTTTCCTATAGAATATTTTTTCTTCTTTAACTCCTGCGTTTAGTCCTTTTAGGTAAAACAAAATATATGCTGAAATTATTAAAATTCTACGAGGAACTTAGAGGGAGGTAAACGTTTAAGATTTGCCCCATTTAACACACCACAGTTCGTCCTTTTTTGTAAATTGATCTGAAACAAGGGAATAAAACCACATCTGTTTTGTGTGGGCACAGGGAATGAAATGAATAAGTCATTTCTTTGGCTGGATCATACAACTTTAAAATGCGTTCAAATAATTTATTTTCAGATAGACGCATTTACTGATCAACAACGTTTCAGCTGAATAGATGCATTTGGGTCGCTTTCAAAATAAGTCAGCCTTTGACTTAACTTCACAACTCAGTGTTGGAATTAAAGTATACAGTCAAAGATTCACGATAATTTGTAAGTTCGTCAGTCTTAAGGAGGCACTGCCAGAGTAAAAAGCACTTGTGTTTCATGTTAATGATATTCCATAAAGGTTTGCAAAATGGGCTCAGATTATTGGATATCACGTTTTGATACGAATGGCGAGTAAGCTTTTAGAGAAACGTCAAGACAATATTACAAATTAAACTAGTACAAATCGGCTTTCTCGTCGCAAGCAAGATACGTAAGATAATTTTAATGAAATAGCTATTTAGAAATGATAAAAGCATGTTCTCAATCAATTTCCATAATTCATGATTTATCTAAATTTTTTCTGAAGAGTTTCTGGGCCTTTAAAGCTAAGTAAGCTTTCAGATTTACTCGATCCTCGATATTTTCTTCTCTAAAAAGGACAAGAGACGACAGCAGGTTAAACGTGACGTTAGCTACTTTTCAATGTTATAAAAGATTAGAAATTAAATGTCAATTTCATTTTCATAAAAATTGAAATATTCGAAATCTATGTTCTAAAGCTTAAATAAGAATAAAATCTATTTTTTTTCCCATGGTTTATCCTGCATCTCAAGCTTCTTTTTTTTCTTTGTGTGATTACAAAAAATATTTTGAAAACCATTACAGTGTTTAAACAATTCCACGCGCACATACTTGTATAATTTTGAGTGGCAGGCCCTATTATTACACGCGATTGTTATGAAAATAAGATGAAAGAAGATAAATCTGTTTCCGTTGAGTTAATAGGTCACAGATTATTTTTGGTAAGCCTGACTCTCAAGAAGACAACAAACCTGAAATAAAAAGTGCCCTAAAAAAATTCCATTCCCGATGTTTTCCTTCTTTGCCATTTGAAGTAGAGTGGTATTTCATGTTTAGCAAACAGCTTTCACAGTGTTTATATCACCATGATACCAAGAAAATTTTTGTTGAATAACCAAATCGGTTTTATACTGTGATCAGTGTTCCATTGTTTACAATCTTAAGACTGATGTCCATTGCTTTGCGAATCATGTAAATCTATGAATCTACGTTCAAAAATGGCGGTGTAAAATATCGAAGTGTGTGCGCGAGTTGTGGTCATAGATTATCATCTGGTATTACCTTATCACATGATCGATTGCGATTTCTAAGCGAACTCTCGGGCAATCGCGAATAATGTAATGCCGAGATATGAAAGATTATCCTTTTTAAAGGACTCAACTTCGAAATATGCCGACCGCATTCTCGAGCGCAAAGACAACAGGTAGCTCAGGGGAAAACGACTTGTTTCAAAAGCTAAATTTCGGACAGTGTGGAGTGCTTTGATCCTGCTGCTTTTCGTCTGAGTTAAATAACTTGGATGATATGATCTGACGAAGATATGATAAGTTTTTTCACAACATTAAGCAGTTAAAAAAATAGTAAAGTACATACCTTCAATTTTAAGTCATCAGAGAAAGATCTCGGTAGGGCTGTATCTGATGTAGGATGAACACAGTGGACTTTTGCAATGAAAGAGTAAAGGATAAATGATAGATTGGTACTTTAATCGGCACCCGCGTCAACAAACATATTTGTTAAACAAACAGACGTTTTAATCACCTTTGTAAAATTTTCAAAACACATAAGCTCTGAGATGAACAATGAAAGAAAGAACTGGTCAACATCATTTACGTCAGTTGGCGAACTTTAAGTTTGACACTTTACTATACAACACAGATTTGAAAGAAAACTTTATTAACAGCACGAAACCTTTTTTTAGTATTTTGTTGTTTTACAGTGCTCACAGCACGTCTAAAATTCTGATTAAATAAGAATCAAAGAATGAATGGTTCGTCACAGCGTGAAATATACAATTTGACCTGCCCAATTTGAGAGGATTCTAAGTGACCAAATTTTGAACGTCAGGGCTACTTACTGGCAAACGTGACCAACTAAATTTGTAATTTCCTTCCAGTATCAAGTGTGAAGCATTCTCGTCACGGTGTGAACATCTTGAAAACATTTGGTGTATCTTTTGTATTTCGTTGTCAGGAAACCGTTTTAATCATTCCTATCCCTCAACTATTGTTTTTACCTCTCTAGTCATTCAACGCCTCGTAAGTACTTTTATTCCTTTAGTCTGCTTCCATACTAGACATTTCAATTTAAAAGTGATTCTGTTTGACGCCGTTAATGGCTCATGACGACGTTGTATCTGGTGTGTTAATTCATCTGAAATAGGGATAATTTTTGAAGTTTCGTTATTACGCTGGAAATAGACTGGACTCAAAGAATGAATTCAATTTAAAATTGAAATAAAAAACTTGATTAAAATTCAAATCAGATTGGGGAAAAGCATAGCGTAGAAGTATTCCGGCCATGCAATATTACAATTTCAAGTGATGTACAACGCTTGTTTTATTGTTTATTTCTTGTCGCCTATGTTCGCGATTCGTCGATGGCAAAATACAAACAGACTCCAACAGAGGTTTGCAGAAGTAATAATTCATTTCTTAGTCTCGAATTAGAATTTCATTATACGACGCTTTTGAATATCTCTCCCCATAAATCTTTTACCGTTGCAATGTTCTGATGTCAGTTTGAAACATTCGTGTAGTGATAAAATGTAAGAATTAAACGAGAGCAAAGATTTATAGAGATAACTTTTCATTTGTGCAATAGCTCCACGGAAATGATGGATAAAGATTGTCGAATCACCTTTTTCGTGCTGGAAAAAGTCCAAAAAATACAATAAAACTCCCGAATTAGAATGACACAGAAGGAATTGAGATGTGTGATACGCAATTACACAAAGGGTATCATGTCAATTCTAAAACGCAGGTGGAAGCACTCATTGACATCAGATTACAGCTCATGGATTCAGTTGTTTACAAAATTCATTCACTGTATTTTGTTCTTTAGGTTAGGATTATGGATACCTCACGACTTGGTTTGAAATCAAGCCGAAGGAAATTAACAACCACCTTGTTAATCTATCCATAAGATGCATATTTTCACCTCCGTTGAGATTTTGAGCAAGTGAAAGTGAGGCGCGATACCCTGTTGTCGCAGCAAAACATCTTCACAATTCATTTCACCAGTGTTAGTGATGTTTAGTGGATTTAAATTAAAATAATAAAGTCTATTTTAGATTCCAAACTCTTTCCTTGGGCTTGAAATATTACGTGCGTCAGTAAATGTTTAGCCTTGTAAATAAAGAAGCACGAAACAAAGCTTAATAAGAGCAGTACTTCACAAAAAAAGAATATATTAATGAACATATTTTTAAACGTTTATGCATTTTCAGCGTCATGCTGTGATAAAAGTCTGACGATTTTCTAATCGAGTAAAACTCTGTTCTTTTCTGTTAAAGGTTGGTTCCACGCGTTTTAATTACCTGAAACACAAACGACTTGAAAAAGAGAATTTTTTCTACTTTTAATTAGAGTGTTCGGTTGAGTAATAGAAATTATTTTCACCTTATGATCGCATATTCTGTTTCAGAATATAATGCAACACTTTGATAAACAGATCTGTCGTAGATTTTATTAACCAAAATCAAAATCTGCTTGGCAAACTAACAAATGGAACTTGCTGAGTTATTCTATTCTGAGTAAAAAATAGCTTTAATTAGAGAAAAAAAAATAACCTCTGGTTATTAATTCCGCCCACAGTAGCCTTTTTGTGTTTTCTTCATTTCAGAGAAATAAACACCCTTTTTTCGCTTTATGACAACAGAAATTGAGTCACACACTAAATTGAGACGAATGTGATCCTTATCTAACTTTGTAATTGCTTATTTTTTGAGTACATGGTGACTCGCGAAATTTGGAAAATTATAACTAACATTCCTTTCAACAAGATTGCAGCCTATGACAAAGCCATTTCGTATATTAGAGTCCTGTTTTTAGTTTTACTGCTTCCATGTAAAGTCTACGTTAATTTCCTCTTATCTAGTATGCCCTCTTTAAGTAAAATTTATCCTTGGAAACGATTTTCCTGTTTGCCCAGTTAGGACTTTGTCAAGTAACTTTCAAAACAGGCATGGTTTTGTGAGAGCGAACACTCAATGTTACCGCCATCTTGGATCCCTAGAGCGCAAAAAATAAAACTAGGCGGCTATTCATACGATTGTAAGTTGCTTCACACCAGCGAATGATTTTTCAAAAACGCGCCTTGCTATTCAAGCTTCAAGAGCTGTAAACCTGAATCGCACTTAAATCTCAATTTTTTTTCCTTTATGTCTCTTCATTCTTCAAACACTTTTACTCTCTACTTCCCTGCAGACCACCCAGCGGCAACACAGCTCGTGTGATTTTGTGTGATCCACGTGAGCGTGGTCGACAGTGTATCGCCGTTTCGTGATACGTTCATGGCATTTTACTCTGTTGACCCATAATGTTCATTCAGAAATTTTCAAGCTATGCGATAATATTTCCTTGGATAAATTTTTAGTCCTATACTAGTCTGCCTTATTATTTATTGTTAATTATATGTACGTGATCTCTGTTCTTGTTTGACCACTTCGAAGGCAAATTTTTCCTAGTGCCATGTTTTTTTGAAACGTAGCTTTCTGGAGATTTCATTTGAACCATCACTAGGTCCAATTTTATGATTTCTTAGAGGTTATTTCCAATAACGTAAATAAAAGACCCGTTTTTATGCATGGAACCTAGCATCAGTAAAGATCATCAGTGTAAATTTTTTTTTAAAATTCTCCATCCCTGTATAGAGTTGAAATGGATACAGTGGCCTTTCTTCAGATTAAGTTCCTGTTAATAACAGCCGGACGGCGCTCACGACGTACGCAATCTTCAGTTTGTTGAATAACATGCATACACATCTCATTACCAAGTTTACGCCTCCAGCTTAAAGTTCCTTAAAAAAATATTTTGGAAAACAAAAGCTTCAACTGTAGAAAGGGAGGTTAAGTAACTTGTCCATTTGCAGCTTTTAAAGTGACCAGAATAAAAAATGTTACATTAATTACAAAAAAAAAATTACAATTTATGACTTCTCTGTTGGTCTCTCGAATGCACACATTTGAAAGCTTAAGACGTCAAGTGAAGTTATTTGCATTGCTAACGTCAGCAAGTTAATCCCAAACTTTATGAAGGCGTCGATCTTTTACTAAACAAACATATTCTTTCTTTCCTTTCCCCGGCTAGCAGTTCTCATATTATTGAATTTATTTATATCATTCCTGGAGTCAAAGTTTCAGCAGTAAACTAGAATGAATTCACTTCAAACGATGTCTCAGATTGACGGTTGTAATTCCAACCCATTGTTTCCTGCCGCACTACTCAATCAAAAAAAATTGTTTCTATCATCAGTTTCTTAAGACCAGTTCGCCGCATCTCTTCAATTGAACACATCAAATGTGTAACAATTTTAACCCCTTTTATGGGATATTACTTTGTGGCAGCGTTTCATCGTCATCAGAATTTATGATGATCATCAAGGCATCTTACTACACTTTCCATTTTGTTATTTATCATTTGTTAGCTACGACATTCGGTGTCCGGTTGACAGTAAAGATAACATCCTTATTTTACATTTGTACCCCCTGAGGCAAAGGATACGAGCTTATTTCAACATGAAATCAGAGTATTTTTTGCATAATGTTTATTGGAAATCCCTCTGGCAAATTGTCTAAGATGACACCAGAAGACGTGAAATAGCTGCGACGAAATTTACTTAAACGCATGGTTCTGTTAGATCTTACAAGGCTAGTGAAATTTGTGTCATGAGTTCTAACTTATAAAGTAAATTCAGCTCATACACTTTGTGTTTAGGTATATGATCGCTGTTATATATTTCTTAGGTTTTGACTGCTGCGAATTCATTTTTTACTCGGAATGTTTAAATGCTTGTTCTTGCAAAAAAAAAAATTAATTTCTACCCGGGGAAAAGAAAACATCATTACTTTCCACGGAAAAGTTTATAAAAATCTTAATGCCCGGAAAATCATCACAGACTTTGAGGTTTCTGTCGCTATATAACTGAACACCACACTCCATTAAGATACATGAAACTAAAAATGTAATATTTCTTTCTTTGCGAAATACTTAATGAGAAATGTGATACTTTCTTCTCTAGCAGAAAAATAGATTTATAATGCTCTTATCAAGGCATGAGGAACACAAAATGCGCCAATATCTGTGCGTCATGTTTAAGACATAAATGGCAGATGTTATAGAGGAGAAAACGTTTTTAACTATGTTGATACTACACCTGAATATAATAATGGAACTGCAGTCGCATTGGTTAGTAGAAAAAGACTGTTTATTAATAACAGAGAGGCCTGACTGTTTCGTTTCATTTTATCATTGAAGGCATCAGCGACGAAACCACGAAGCTGCATTAACAGTTTAAGATTGACTTTAACTACAAAAATACAGAGAGGTATGTTGTACTTTTGCTCACACTCTCAGCTTGACTTTCTAAGTAAATGCATGGCATGTGTGCGCAAACGTTGGCTTGAATCAGAGTTTAAATAGACATCTGCGGTCTTCAATTGCGAAAATTTACAAAATTAATTTGACAGAAGTCACCGCTAAAATTTTACCGCAGAAACTAATTGAAGAAATTCTAGAACAACGACACCGAACCTTGTGTTCCAAATCAGAACCAGATGAGCTATGAATCGTTTCAGGGCTTTGCATTTTCCTTTTGTAGATTTTTTAAGAAGAGATGATGGAACGAGATCAAATAATATGTTTTATCCGGCCTGACTGTGCACTTAATATTATTGCAATATCTCTCTTCAGGGGAGATCAACAGACTTTTCTTGCAAAACGATTTTTCACCTTAGACCAGACAAATAACTCTTACATAATTTTATACAAAAAAACAATTGCATTGTGTCTTTCTTGGCGTCGCCTTCACCACCTTATCTTTGTTGGATTATTTAAATATTCGCATCTCCCTTCGATTGGGAATCTTTTGATTGAATTTGAAAATATTTTCCGTAATCTTTTTTCCGTTTAGTATTGTCAATATGCGCTGATCTAAACAGATAAAGTCTGTTCAAAGACCCTATCAGAGGACGCACGAAACAAACTGATTTACTTGGAAAGGTTTTGCCATCATGCCATAAAATTGGATTTAAAATCGCAAGGAACATAGAGATCAATGGGTCACCCAACAAATTTTTCCACAGTCAGTGAGACAGAGAAATACATCAAGCTTGGTTTATATGTGTTTACTTTCATCGTTGCCGTTGGAGGAAACTCTCTCGTACCGCTGGTGCTGTGGAAGAGAAAACGAAAATCGGTAAATGATATCCTTATTTTGAACTTGTCGGTATCTGACTTGACACTGATGCTATTGTCCCTGCCGTTGAATGCTTTTCTCCTTAGTAGAATCAATTTTCCAGTGCTTTTTTGCAAGATTGTCTCTCCTCTTATGACAGCCACCTTCAACGTCAGTATCTTTACGCTGACATTCATGGCTGTATATCGCTGGCGCGTCATCGTCAATTCGTTACAACCAGAAATGCGCCACAGATACGTCATTGCTTGGGTCATTGTTATTTGGATCGCCGGTTGTCTGCTTTTACTTCCTCTCGTGATCGTGGCTGATATTGACGAGACCGGGGGATGCAAAGAGAGTTGGAAACCACATCAAAGTCGCGCGTACACATTGATCCTTTTTACACTGCAATATATGCTACCACTGACAATCATTGCGGGCGCCTACATATTAATTGGAATCGATATAGGAAAAGCGAAAGAGCGGCACGACATTAACGCGCAGGATAGGTTTACTTTAGAAGCGAGAAGGAAAGAAGATCTCCAAATCATCAAGATGATGGGTTTGATTGTGATATTATTTGCTCTCTGCATGTTACCAATCCAGGTCGCCTGGCTTATGGCGGACTTTGGAGCCAATAAAGATAAAGAATTCTGGAACATTTTCCTGAGAATGGCTGACATAGCAGCGTATTTGCATGCCTGCGTTCATCCCATAGTCTACGGAACAATAACCAAGTATTTTCGCCGTGAATACGTCAAGTACGCAAAGTCAGTTTTTTGTTGTAGAAGTTAAATTGCAATTTTAAAGGAATCGGTGGGTGCAGGTCAATCAGTTTATAATTCAGTGGCTACGAAGATGAGTAAAAGGAAATTCGTCTAGCCTCACCCAGCATTTAAACGAAGAGAAGATAACGACAAATTAAAAGACACAAAAACCCCAAAAGGGAACGTGGTTATTATTACACTTATTCTTAATTATTTTCGCAGTTTAAAAAGCTGTAAGTTTAGGAAACTGCGTGGTTCCAGACTCTAAGAATGTTTTACGTAAATAATTGACACTGCCGAAAGTTCTCAACTCTTACTCAGAGCGTGTTTGCGTACAGTACATGGTTAAATAAAGTTAAAAAACGCGAGTAAGTGCAACAAAGTAACATTCTTTTTTGTGTCCAACTGGGTAGATACGATCGAGTCCTGTTATGTTATCCTTTTGGCACTCTCCATTTAATCAGCCAAGGAAGAGGCTTATCCCAAAGGCGGAAATCTTGCCCTTAAAGCCGGGAAGCGGAGCCCAATATCTTAGTACCTGCAGGCCGTCCATGCACTTTTTGACTATCTTTCTCAACTTTAACTTATTCCTATCATATAGGGATGCTTAAATTAGTCGAGTTGCTTAGTCAATAAGAAAAGAAAAAGTTTCTTAGTTATCTTCTTAGCGCTCGTTCAAGGCCCCTCTAGATACCAGCCTTGGGGCTGATTAGGCCACGCTGATAAAAGTTTACCCTACCCCTACCCCCCTATCATTCATCTTCGTCCCGAGTCAGTTGTTCTCTCTAGCCTTGTGTGCTCTTACTTCAGCTTGTGGAAATTAGTTAACGACCAATTGATGAAGTGTGTGAGTTTGCCTGTAGTTCAAATTTAAAAAATATTGATACACGTATTTCAGTATTTGCAGTATTTTTGAAATGGCAACCTAATTGAGAATATGTTTCATAAGGTTTTTAATCACAACAAAAAATGCGCAGTGGATCGCACAGAGGGTTTTTAAGTCAAACCAACTCAAATAATCGGAGAAATAATGGTCTGACAGTTACTTTTATTTACAGAAATTTGCCTTACTGGACAAGGGTAAAAGAAAAGTCTATTTGTTTGTGTGTGTGAGAAAAGGGTATAACACTCGCTAAGAAGGACGATGGCTTGATTGCGTGAAGGTGTAATTTTCCGGTGTGGTTTGATGTTTCTGCTGCCATTTTTCAGAAGGGTCTGTTGGTATTGCACAATGGTTGCATGTATACAGCCGTATACATGTTAAGAATTTATAAAGTATAATCATCTCTCTCTCTCTCTCTCTCTCTCTCTCTCTCTCTCTCTCTCTCTCTCTCCGCGTTCTCCAATCCCTTTCTATTCCTCCCCTTCCATGTACCTCCTTTGCTTGGAATTGTTTCTCGTTCTGCTCTGCTGGCTGATTTCTGGGATAATTTCGTAAAATGATTTTGGCAAGTCATATCCAAACATCTCAGAGTCGGGTCCAAATAACTGCATAGTTCCGTAAAGCCGCTCTTTGTGGATTTGGTTGTAGAAAAACGGCACTAGTGATGAGGTTTGCGACCGTTTGACCGGTGGAAATGACACATTTGCTTTTTTTGTTACACCAGATATTTCCAAAACATATTGAGCCTCTTGCCCAAGATTTTCAAAGTGTCCGATGAAATCATAAGGAATACCACAAGGCTGACACAAGTTGTCATAAGTTTGCCAATGTTCGTTCCAGTATCCATCACCTAAATGTAGAACGTAGTTTAAAAACTCATCGAATTTGACGTTTTTCTCTTCAGGATTACCTCCTGGTCTGTAGAGTGTAATAATACGTTGTCCATAATTTTTGTGGAACGCAGGGTCACCGCTTTGAAATTTATCCAAGTAAGCAGATAAAAGCCGCTCGAAAGGTTCTCGAACAAACACAAACTTGAAATAAGTTTTCAGCATCCTCTTGACTTCATCGGTTGGGTAATTACTCAGAAATTTGAAATTTCTCGCATCGTGAATCCCAGGGTACGCAAGCTGTGGGCCAGAAAGACTTGCTATGACAGTTTTCCATTGAGTACAAGCAATTTTTGGAATGTAGCAAAATAATATTTTATACTTCTCATTAACGATGATGTTCAATTTCGAAATGTCCTCCAGGGAGCTGTTGGTTTTGTTATTCCTTCTGCAGACCTCCCTTATTGTTTCCAGTCTCTTCACGTTCACAGACTCCGTTGATCCTTCGTCATTTTGCTGCTGGAAAAATAATAAAACTAAAAGTTTATTGATTTGCGTTTCCTCTTATTCTAGCTCTACTCCGACTCCTTGTGTCGTATGTGCATGGACCTCTGCTGTTAGGGTAAATCTATATCAGAGCGAGCTATAAGAAATAACAAACCTGAACCATTTTGCTACTGACTATGGTCAATTCTTCGCGATTGTGGAAGAGGAACGGCAAACCTAAAAATAGAAAATTGAAAATTGCAATTATCTTAAAAGAAATTCACTTTTAAGGAAACGTGGTATTGCGTCGAGAGGTGGGGGGGGGGGGGTATTACAAGATAATTTGGTAACTCCGGATCCACTCTTACGCAAAATTCCATTAGTATATAAGCTAACAGAATTTTAAAAAATATCAGCTTCTATTATAATTCATGGTAATTCTATGAGCATTCGGCGTATTAGGAGGTAGAGAGCAGTATTCATTTGTAACTTAGTCTTTTCATGGCCAATCCTTGATTCGGGCTGCTCGCCGGTTTTTTTTTTAGTTTTAGCTTCCAGTGATAGACATGACCTTGTTGGTATTGATTTAAACAGAGGCAATGTTTGTTCTGCTAATCACTCATTTTACGTCCTATTTTCCATTTGTTGTCAAATCAACTTAAGTCCCACAAATATATCGTTTAGCAGCTTAGAGCATAACCCTCCAATTCTTATAATCACGTTTTAGTGCTTGTGTAAGCTTATGTCTAAATGAGAGTCAAGATCTAAACAACAACAAGATCTGTTGCATTATCTGACTTTATGACATAGAAGGCAAAATTACGAAATGCTGATTGGCTGGGCATTTTTAATCAATTTTGGTAGTTGCCCCGTGTAACACGTCGTCCAACTCCCAAGAGAGTAAAATACGAGGTATTTTACTGAGCCTAATGTTCTCAGATTGCTTTGTAACCTCCACGTGTTCTTCTACTGTATAAGATTACAATACAAAGTTAGTTTTTGACAAATGCTCGAATCACAAGTATCAAATATTAAAGAACGAAATGTCCAAGCGTGACTCACGTCGCTGGGCTCCAGGCGATTACCCATGCTAAAAGCTAAGTAGTTATTTTAATTTAATTCAATTTTTTATAGACACAGTACGTTTTCTTCAGTTTTTAAATTGTTTTTGCGCGCCAGATATTGTTGAAGGAGGCTCGCTATAAAAACAATTTCATCCAAAATTTCCATGAAACTCCTTAATTGGGTTTTCATATTCCTTTTGTATTTTTGTCGAGTGGATATACACTGTATATTCAAACTTCCACAGTGCAGGATTATTTTGAGGATCCGCTATGCATTGATCAGTACTTGCTCCATGTACAGACTAAAAGACAGTAAAATCCTGATCGAGACTTACCATAAATTTTTTTTAAATATTGGACTGGAAATTGTACTGCAATCACAATGATATCACTGGGGTCTTTAATCAAAACCATTTACACTCACCTTACCTTGAATACGCATAAGTATCGAGTTACTCCATCCTACGTACAGAACGACAAAAGAAATTGTAATGACAGTTAAAGTGAACAGGGCAAAGTTTAAAGTCTTGTACGCCATCGTGGTCACTTCATGAATGTTGGTCTTTTCAACTAATTAAATTTCCCTCTTCTGTAAAAAATTTCATTCACACAAGTTGTCTGTAGCTGTTAAAGGTTTACGCGGTTAATTTATTCGTACAGTGACACATTCCAATGAGTTATCGAAGTTACCGTCAACAACCAATTTTTTTGTCTATCGAAGACTGGATTTTACTTATGGGGATAATGACACGATAGGTGACTTTGAATTCTTCGTAATCATATCACAAAGTTTCGATTTTTTAGGGAGCGCACATCCCAATAAATTTATGTTAAAACTCAGGCGTTTTAGTAGTATGGATGGATATACAAGACGTGTTTGATCGGTTGGATAAAAAGCCACCATATGGAACCGACTGATTATTTTGCATGACAAGTCTATCAAGCATATTTCGGACAAAGGGAGCCACCTGATCATAAGCGAAAAAGAAAAATAAACAAATTACTGGATCCGCGAATAAGAACTGAAGTATGAATGATAGAGAATTTCGATTGCCGCAGTTTAGTAAAATGTTTAACTAAATCCAACGAAGGAATGAAGTGAGAAAAATCAACTGAAATTTTCCCTTCTTTACTCGCTGTAATTTAAACTTGAGCAAAACTTTGCGGTTACTTTTCTGCTAAAAAGCAAAAACGGACAAAATAAACAACAAAGAGGTTATGTTATACTTTGTGATCATAGACTTTGCCACCTGATTATGAATGGGAGGCAAATAAACCAAACATACAAGGAGAGCTTTTAATGTCCTATTATTTCAATTGTTCTTTGTTGTTCTTGTACGAGTCGAAAAAACATATTTTATTAATTGTACACTGTCAGTCATTGTTCGAACTGAAAGTCTTAGTATATCAGAAAAATTCAAGAAAATTGTCGAGGAATTCCTGTGATTACCCCTGCGTGCCAAGTTTTTCGGAAGGCGGTGGTTATCAATTGCGATCTCTTTAGGTATAGTCAGGTCTACCTGGGGCGAGTGTTGGAAAATTTTGAACCCCTCGATTGTCGACCGTCTTTGGCAGAAAACTGAGGCGTTCTGCCATTTGTTCAGAAGCTGTAATTTGAAACTTAGAATAATAAAACCAAAGTAAAGCACAACCATAGGCCCATTCCTCTTATCCACTGTTTCCAGATCGAGCCAGAATATGGAGCGTTCATTCTACGAAGGGAGGAAATCCAGAAAAGTTTAAGGAAAGACTTGCGGCAAAGACAAGCTCCAAAATATTCAGAATACCTCATCACTTTGATAAAGCTCATTTCAACACAGTCAGTTCTAGTTTGCAGACGCCTCCAAACCGAAAATACTGATTCTTTGTTCATCTATTCAGCTCTGTTGCCATGGCTGATCTCCATCTTCAACGAACATAAGTTGTTTCGAGGAGGCGAAATTGTGTTTTAAACGAAAAAAAAAGCGAATCCACAACGACAGAAAAACTCATAAGTCCGACATCTGCGAGCGCTTAACAAAAAAAATAAAAAATAACCCTATTTCTATCACGACCTATCTGAATATATCTAGTAAAATTAAAATAAAAGCGTGCGGCATTGTTCGGCCTTGCCAACCGACAGCGCCACGCCAATCAACAGGCGTTCGTCGGAACATAAGTTCTTGATTAATTCGCGCTTCAAAGCGCTGAGAAAATTATTCCTTTTACTTTCCTCATTACCATTTCGCTCAGTCCATTGTTGTACAAGGCGTTATCGTTTAAATTTCTCTCCCAGTTTCGGAAGAGGCCAGAACGGATGCCTGTTTTGTCCTTTGTTTATCTTTTTCAATGCTTGTTTCTATCACAAGAACAAGAATGTAGTGTAGAAAATGGGTATCAACTTGTTCGTCCGAGGAGCAGTTCGACGTTGGAGAATGTATTCGCATGATTTCTTTTGATATCATCACAATGACACTTGTCACGAGTACTTACTCAGTGAATTCATGATTCCGAGAGTTGCTCCTGATTGTGCACTCGGAGTTGCCTTATATCTAATCAGTTTTGGCGTACATCTCTATTTTGCATGTAGAACGGTTATTGCTCAATATTTGAAAACAAAAACAAATCGATTAGATTCGCAGACGAGATCCCGCTATGAAAAAAAGCTAGCATACCTTTCAAATTATCGTGTTCTAGTCACGTGTCAAAAATAGTGGCAGACACGATGTAAGACGAGTGCAATTTTTCTTTTTTGTTTCTGTTTTTGTTTTTGTTTTTTTAATGGTATACTGAGTTAGATCTTGAATGATGTTATCAGTAGTTTTTTTTGTTGCATTAGAAAATATGACATAGACATCAAGTATGACACCATGCATGCTATCATCACCCATCATGATTATTATGAAAAACAGCTTTTTGCATAAAATACGAACCAATTACTTTTCACCCCAAATCGCCTCATTTTTTTTTTTAATTTTTAATTTATTTTATTTGATGCTTACACCTAACTTAACTAAACATAATCAACCACAACCCTCAAAGTAATTGAATACATTTTAACAACCATTGACTGATTAAAAAAATGGAGGCCATAGCTCAAAACACGGTTATCGTTCATATTTTTCGTGTCGCATATGAAATTCAACCAAATGGAAAGGAAGGAGATGTTTATCGAAATAAAAAGAAAATTATGTTAAATTTAAATAAAATTCTCGTTACTCCCAACACGTGGCTGAATAGCCCGGCGGGCAGCGGCGCCTGATCACAGAGAGGATCGCTTTCAATTAAGGCTTCTTTTCAAAGCCTAGATTTTCTTCTTCCTTGAACTTTTATAATTTCAGTTTACCTTACACGATCTATTCGACGATTAAATATGATTTCATTCATACATTGTTCGTAATAATCTAAAAACAGATTGATAAAACATAGAACCCCCAAGCAGAAATTGAAGTTTACATACATGCTTTTATGCATGGACTCCATCGGCGATTTTTTTTTTCTCTGATTCTAACTAAATTGCATCACAAATGTCAAACTTAAGACATAATTCTTAATTTCTTCTAAAATCATCCGGTCAGGTTTAAGTGATCTTGTACAAATACTCCATTTCACGTCGCAAAGGAAGGTTTCTATTTTTGTACGACAGGAAACATCATCTCTACTTCATTTCATTCCATTTCAAACAGACAAGTCGTTGTTCTATATAAACATAGATTGAAGTGTTAATGATATATGCACAGAATAATCGATTTCTCTTTTCACGATTCATCGAATACAAATTTTACAATTAAGTTTCGTGCCAGCTCGGAAGGCAAACTACCCGATTTCAAAGTTGATAACAAGGTTTTTTCCATTTAGAAATGGCAGAGGAAGACAGCAAGGTGCTACACTGAAAATTAATTTCCCCTTTCTCTTTTAAAACCAGCAAACAGTCTTTCAAAATATTAGCAAGAGAGAAATGCTAATTACTGAAATATGACAGCAGAATGTCAAGGATGTCACATTCTGTTTGTTTGTTGTTTTTTTTTGGTTCAATATTGCCAATTTTGGCTCAACAATTAATACGTAACAAATAAGTATTGAGGAGGGATCGATCATTATGGCTGGTTTCTCACAAATGCTGTTCGCGTTTTGTCTCTTGTTCGTGAAATATCCTTCGGCAAACTTACAAGAAACAACTGACAGGATTTTCAAAAATGGCGACGTAATTATTGGAAGCCTTCTGGCCGCTCATCAAGAGAATTCAGAAGAAGGTTGCCGAAACGTGCATCTTATTGGCATAATCCGCGTAGAGGCTGCTATATACACCATTGAGCAAATTAACAAAAACGCAAATATTCTTCCGAATATTCAACTTGGTTATGATATCCGAGATCATTGCATGGACAGGGCAAAGGCAATGAAACATACTTACGATTTCAGCACACACATCCAATTCTTGGAAATGGACGAAGTCTCCAACAACCACCACGTCAATTCCAACGCTTGTCTGCAATCTTCTCTTTCTAAAAGCAACACAGCCTTACCAATTTCCGCCATAGTCGGGCCCTACGGCTCACGGAACTCACTTCAAGTCGCAGGACTGCTTCAAGTTGTGAACATTCCGGCCATAAGCCCGTCGGCAACAAGCGCAGAGCTTAGCTGGTCCTTTTACAAAAAGTTCTTGCGAACAGTTCCTCCAGATGGCTATCAAGCAAGAGCTATGGCGGACCTGATCGAACACTTCAGCTGGAAATATGTGGCGGTGATCGCTGTGGAACATTCATACGGATTGTACGGTTTTCGTGCGCTTGAGCAAGAATCTTTTCAACGACAGACGTTTTGTATTGGACTTGTGGAATATATCACACCAACACAGTATGACAGTCAGTTAAAACCTACTGTTGCAAAACTTAAGCGGGCGGAGAACATCAAAGTCATAATTTTGTGGATTGGAGCAACACTCGCGAAGGAATTGGCCAAAGAAGCACACAGTCAAAATCTTATCGGGAAGGTTTGGGTTATGAGCGACTCTTTAGCAACCAAAACTCCTGAATATCTTGGAAACGATTTGATAAGCCTTGGAATTTATTTAGGAATTCAACCAAAGCAGTTTCAAGATAGGAACTTCGAAGAGTATCTTAAACATCTCACCGCAAAAATTTCTTCTGAAAGGAGAAACGTAAATCCTTGGTTTGATGTTATTTGGAGGGAAGAATTCAACTGCTCTACAAACAATGGCACCCAGGGTTATGTGCGGTGTCAGGACAATTTAACCATTACCGATGAGGTATTTTCCAAGATGTCTGATGACTTTATTCCATATCAAATTGACGCTATTTACGCAGTTGCTCGTGCACTTGATATGATCTACAAATGCAAGACACCACTCGGTTTGTTACCAAATGGAGCCTGTCCTCAAACGAAACCTTTCGTGCGATCTTCAGACGTTTTTTTGTACCTTCGTAATGTCAGTTTTCAAGGAATAACAGGCCGAATCGGGTTTGATGAAAATGGAGACCCTCTGCAAGCCATGTATGACTTTGTCAGCTTTCAGAAGAATTTTGGGGGTAATTATGTCAAAATAAAAATAGGGTTTTGGGAGGCTAATGGAGATCTGATGTTACAGATTAATGACAGCTTAATCAAATGGAGCAATGGAAACGGCACTTTGAACAGACAAGCATCCGGAATACCAAAATCAATATGTCTGGAGCCGTGTCCACCTGGAACACGACAAACACCCACGATTTCTTGTTGTTGGCAATGCATTGAATGCCCGGATGGAGCAGTTAATGCACGCAAAGGATCACCAAACTGTACAAAGTGTGCTAAGACGCAAAAGTCAAGTGAGGATAAAACCACATGTGTAGACCTACCAATAAAAAATCTTCATTGGAAAAGCATGACTGGAATAATCCTCGCTATTTTTACGACTTCGGGCTTTGTTTTTACATTCTTTACAACGGTTCTTTTCATCCGCTATTATCACACGCCAGTTGTAAAAGCTGCTAACCGTGATCTGAGTTTCATTTTACTTTCCGACATCGCTGCGGGATTTGTTTTACCTCTGTTGACAATTTCGTATCCCTCCCCTGCCATTTGCGCTGTTATTGAACCCTGGCGCTATATAACATCATCACTAAGTGTCTCCGTTCTGTTGGTGAAAACCATGAAACTATTGAGAGCTTTTCAGATTACTTACGTTGCAAAATGGTTGAGAAAGAGCAGCGCCAGCTCAGTTGGGCAGTTTGTGTCCATCATTTCGTTAAACTTTATTCAAGTTATATTTGCAGTTATCTGGGGCGCAGTAGATCCTCCTTTCACAAGGAATAAGATTGAAGAAGGATTATTTGTTACAATTATATGCATTCCTTACCGAACGAGTCTAGGCCAGGCTATGGAGATATCTATGCTGACCTATATGTTATTTCTATGCCTTCTTTGTGTGTTCTACGCTTTTAAAGCTCGCACCCTTCCCGAGAACTTCAACGAAGCCCGTTATATTGGTTTTGCAATGTATATACTTCTTCTCTCCTGGATTGCATTCGTTCCTGTGCAAACGTCCTTAGGAGGGTGGTATGTGGCTGTGGTATCATGTTCAACTGCTCTCGTTAACTCGTACGCTTTGCTTGCCTGCATTTTTGCACCAAAACTGTTTATCATTCTTCGCCACCCGGAGCAAAATACATCAGAATTTCTACGAAATGAGTTAAGAACAGCTAACAGCATAAAACCAGCCACAATCTACCATCGTTCTTCTGGGGAAAAAGCTTTCACAAAAGTGACAGTTATTCAAAAAAGTCCTTTCCGACAAAAGAGCGGCTGTACTAAACGTCGAAGTAGTTTGTAATCATAGTATTGCTATGCGTTAAAGTGAACAACTGACGTAGAATGGATCACCTACAAAACAAAATCTCAAGACCAAATCTCTTAAGAGTGACTAGCATCTAATTTCTCTTTACATTGTCCGCCCTGAATCAAACATTGAGGTCGCGGCAAAAGAGGAAATGATCACCAGCTGAAAAAGCTCTTGATTGTTAAACAAATTCTCCTTGTCAGCACCTTAAGAAATGTATAGAGAACAGTATAGAGAATATGCAGACTGATCTTAGGGTGGAAAGGATCAAAATGATCCGTTCTTGGGTGAAGATATTGCTGATATTAAATGTTTCAAATGAAAGTTAAATTAGTTTCAACATTGATGACATTTTATCATAAAACTAACCAAAATGAAAGATTTTGCTATATTTCTGGAGTATGCAAGTATTCCTGTGGCATCATCTGGGTTCGTGTCGAGTGCTTATGACCTTATGATCTAAAACCTGGAAAAAAAAACATCCCAGGCCAACGTCCGATAAAAACAAAACTATATATTAAAAGCTAAAAGTGACTAAGAGGCGATTAGTTCTCGTTAAGTTTAGAATTTGAATTGTAGAGAGAGCAGTGAGATGAAAGGGGGAGGGGTTGGGTGGCGACAAAACAAATCTGAGAGCGGAGGTAACCAGAGCCAAGTAATATCAGCTTGATTTCAACATACAATTGAAAGCTTCTTTTTTGGGATTCATCATCATTATCAAAAAGACATGTTACACAGATGGAGTGAAATCCTTTTATTTGTACTTCATGAGCACACGTTTACAAAGGCATTCACTCTCTAAAGTTACGCCTCACTTAACGTATTTCTTCGCTTTTTTGTATGGCTTACACTTCTTTCCCCTCAGACAGCTGATTATCTCCTTGGCCTTAGCTTGTCCAGTGAAGAAGCCACCCTGAACGTATCCCATCCACTCAGAGCTGGTGCTCTCCCCTGCAAAGAAGAGATTTCCAAGTCGTCCGGCCATGTTGTCATAGTGACCCCAGCTTGTGCCGACCACAGGATCTGTCCAGGCTGCTCTCACATATGGATTCTGTGACCACTTGCTGACATGGATGTCTTAAAAAGAAATTTTTAAAAAAAATTGTAGTGACATCGAAGTGTCTCTAGTAAAAAAAAAAATAAAAATTCGTTACTTGGCAGAGACTACGGCTAAACTTTCGAATATTGTAAGCATGAAACAGATTTTGAATTTTTTGACGACAGAAATATCTATCTTACAACAAAACCGGCGTAAATAAGTTCTATCAGCTAAAACGGCTCTCCAAAATGGAGAAAATTAGGCAAAAATCCACGGTGTGGACGTCTGGAAAGACAGACTTTCGTTTCCACTTTAAAGCAAAAAGAAAACTGAAATAGAATCTGCCTCTCCTGCAACACTTTCCCTCAATTTGTCAGCAATAACTCATCTTACTTTCCGATGAGAATCAAGTCATTTATTGATTTCTAAATAAAATGATAAGATTCACTCCTCACCTGTAGCATTAGGAATGTTTTCTCCGTAAATTTTCCTCAAAGTGGCCATCACTTCTATCATCGTTTTGGAATCGTCTTGTGCTTCAATTCTGAGCGAGGCATCGCCAGTCACCGATGTGAACAAGACACCTGTGCCAGGGAAGAAACCGGGTCGATCCAGGTCGTAGAAAGTTGGAAACTCGCCCTTTTTCTCGGAAGCGTGCATTATCCACTCATGATCATCCCAGAAATCGCGCGGAAACTTCAAAAAAATCTTAGTGAAGTAAACTGGACGGAAACGATATATCACTTCCAACTTCCATTTGGGGAAGGGAGGGTCAAACTCAACCAGGCCACTGCCCAGCACTCCGGAACTGAAGGTTGACAGCGCGTATTCTGCAATGAACTCATCTCCATCAGTTGTAGTGACTGTAACGCTGTTGTTGGAGTAGCTGATCTTGGAGACAGGCTTGTTTAGCAAAATCCTTTTCCTAAACCGCTTGTAGAAGTCACTGAAGAGGGTCCAGTAGCCTCTTTGGTCAGTGATGAAGAAGTCCTCACCCGGAAATCCCATGTTATTAAGGGAAGTGACGGTTTCATCTCCGCCGTACTCGAAATCAATGTCGAACCAGGAGAAGGTCCTCTTCATCGGGGAATCTGAACGCCATCCGCGCATCTTCAGGTAAACAGAAGCAGGCATGTCTCTGGGTGGGGTGTCTGCTCCATCTCTTCTCTCCCCCTCTGCAAACAGTTCGTCACGAACTTTCTCCCATCGATGGAAAGTTTTCAAATCAGTGATGTCGTTACCGAAGTCGTCTCTGTGGAGGAAAATTATTTGATCATTAACATAGATTTATTAAAATAGCAAGAATGTTGGCTCTGGAGCAGGGCTGTAACGCATAGTTTTGATTACTGATATCAAAAACGATGGTGACGATAATATTGTTGATGATCTATCGGCCAGCTGGATATACGAAGCTAATCTTCGAATGGATATACGAAGCTAATATATCGAAGCTGGATATATAACGAATATAAGGATAATATAACGAAACTGGATCTACGAAGCTAATCTAGTCTTCTTTGTGAGGCGTGAGTAGTCCAGTGGTCAGTGCGCTGGACACTCGGTCAGATGGCCCGGGTTCAAGTCCTGGCTGGGGCTTGACGTTGTGTCCTTAAGCAAGACGCTTCACTCACATTGCTTCGTCTTCTCGGATAGGACGTAAAGCCGGAGGTCCCGTCTCCTGCACCTATCAATTAGTTAATTTCGGCAAGGGACGTTAAAGAACCCACATCACGAGATTACTGTGATGTGGTCTGGCCTGTTTACTGGGAAGGGGGGGAGGGGGCATCTGTAAAAATTTCTCCTTTATTAATTGTAAACTGCCGCCGGCAGTCTGGAAAAGTCCCCCGCACAGTGTTGTAAAGCGCATTAGAGCATTTACATGGAAATGCGCTATAGAAATTGATCTATATTATTATTATTATTATTATTATTATTAGTAAGGTGCATAGTTTTTCTTGCTTCTGCTGCCCTTTCGATGTTACTGTTATTGCCATCAGTGTTATTGTTCGTTCCAGTTTATTTCCACAAAGGTTATGGATATCATGTTCAGATACATTATCATTCGATGAATTTGTTGTTTATGGCTGCACAAAGTTCATAGNGTTCTCCTGCACCTATTAATTAGTTAATTTCCGCAGGGGACGTTAAAGTACCCACATCACGAGATTACTGTGATGTGGTCTGGCCTGGTTACTGGGAATGGGGGAGGAGCATCTGTTAAATTTCTTCTTTATTTATTGTAAATTGCCGCCGGCAGTCTGGGAAAGTCCCCTATACAGTGTTGTAAAGCGCATTAGAGCATTTACATGGAAATGCGCTATAGAAATTTATTATTATTATTATTATTATAATCTTTTGAGCAAGGCATGGCAAGCATAATCGAGCTTTACGAACAGTTCTTGCCAATCCAACTCTACTCTGTCTTTGGGACCAGTAAGTCAGAACAAATAAGCCATGTGCAAAATACGTAAAAAGGAGCCAGAAAGCCATGCTCACGTGCTACCGGGCCGTCCTTGGAGGGACGTGAAGCTTGTCGACTCTGTTTAACCGTGGTGCTCATGGATGGAGCCTAAGTCGATGTATGAGTCAAACAATGCGCAAATAGATTTCAAGGCGAGGAAGGTCCTGGTTGTGGAAGTTAATTGTCCTTGGTTGGACATTCTAGCGAGGAAGGCCACTGAGACGATAAACGGAACATTGTGATGGAACCTTAAACGACATGTACAGTACCAGACACTCGTGTCTAGAATCTGTAATAATATGAATAATAATGATAATGATAATAACTACGAGCAAAAGAATATCAAGGTCATGTTCTCTTGCTACGAGTTAACTTACCGCATGCAGAAATCGCTGTAATTGGACAGATGTCCCCTCAAGTCGTACTTTTTGTTCAATCGATTAAGGGGATTATCTTCCTCTTCCACGTAGTGGATCCAGTTCGCTCCTTCCTCTACCTTCATACCAGCAAAGGGCACTGACTTCATTCGACCTCCAATGTAATCTTGAGCCTCTAACACGAGAAAGTTCTTGATACCATTATCGTACAGCGTCTTAGCTGCTGTAATACCAGCAGAACCGGCTCCGAGGATTAAAACTTTATATTTTGGACGTGTCCTTTTCAGAGGGCGGAGGCCAAAGAGACACGGCAGAAGCACCAGGATCAAAGCACAGGAAAGGAATAGTTTCCGGTTGTTTTTCATGACGTTACCACTAAGACCTACTGACCAAAACAAAACCAAACTTGGATATCACTTCTACTTGACAAGGCTAATAAGAGTTTCCAGAGGGAAACTAGAACGCTGACTTTTCATCCATTAGCCCTTCGTCACTTGCTCTGATGAAGGGCCGACGCTCGAAACGTCAGCTTTGTTGTGACTTTACGTTGATCACTTCAAATTATTAAATCAGTTGATAAAACCAAATTATCGTGTATTTCCCCCACCGACACAAGACCAAAAACTTCCATCCTTTATTAATAGGATTTTTCACTTCACGTAGCATTTGACGACTTAATAAAAACCATGTTACTGTTTTCTAGTTAGAATTTGTTTCTTCGTTATTCGGAAAAAAAATTGAAAATGATCACTTTGTTGTGTAGCAATATGTATTAACTCAACAACGGCTGAACAATCATAAAACGAAATAAATCAGTCCATTCGTTGACGTGTTTTCTTAAGTAAATACCATATGACGAATTTTAAGGAGTGCATGAACCTTCATTGCATTTATAATATTTCACCCAGCTGCGGAAAATATCGACTTATCGCCAATGATCAGAGGTCAAAGTACCTCACCTCTCCTCTCCTCAGCTTCTACGCGAAAAACAGGGGAAAAAATTCGCAACTTTTTCACAACAACAACCTCGCGAGCCTTTCTAAAAAACCAGTTTGGGGTCTGAGTGGTGTTTAATCGTCAGCTGTCAAAGGGCTTAAATTTAACATTCAACCATAAAAAAGATAGACTTTTACCGTCAAAAGTGCAAATAAATATATTTTAGCCGCTTACGACCTTAAGTTTTAGATTTGGAAGAATCTTTTAGAATGGTAAATTAGTCTCCAGATTTCCAAAAATGCTCAGTTTATCGTCCTTCTCTCCAATTTTCGCTTTTAACACCGGTGTTTTGAATATATTTATGCTTTGAACTTGATACTCTAACATTAAAAATAGCTGACTTCATTATAAAGTTGTCTTCGTTCACGCCATTACACGCCATTCCTGCCGTTCAACAACATCACAACTGAGATCATGATTTTATCATCTGATGTTAAATGTCTCGGAAAATGTCAACAGTGTCGAAAATGTTTACTTACACTCATGGTTGGAGCCATAATAGATCTCCTATCTCCTATTTTCATTCTTTCTACTTCTTTTGGAGTTTTCCCCAGCATACGAATGTTTCCTCGAGATCAACAACGTTTTTATCTTTCATCTAAGTCAGTTTAAAGTACTCGCGTTGAATTAAAGACTAACGTTCCAATCGAATCAGCAAGAATCCTAAAAATGCGCAAGATACTGACCTAATAATCGCTGGGTGAGAAAGAATCTTAAAGGCGCGCAAAATACTAACGAAAAGAGAAATCCTTAATGTGCGCCAGATACTAAAGTGACAATCGAATAAAGGAGAATTCTAAAGGTGTGCCAAATATCAACATAACAATCGAATAAAAAGAATCCCTAAGTGCGCGAGATACTAATGGAACTTGCGAAGGAAGGAGAGTGCTACATTTTGCAAAGGTGTGCGAGATGGCTAATATAACGATCGAATGACGGAGAATCCCAAAGTTGCGCTAGATACTAACGTAACAATCTCATGAAAGAGAATCTTAAAATTGCAGGAGATAGTCACGCAACAATCAGATGAAAGAGAATCCTAAAAGTAGTAGAGTTACCTAGACAATAATCAAATGAAAGACAATCCTACAAGTGCGCGAGAATGCTTAGGTAACAATCCAATGAAGGGAAACCGTAAGGTGTGCGAGATACAAACATAACAAATAACAATCAAATGAAATTGTATCGTAGAAGTGTGCAAGATATTTACGTAATAATCATCATAAACCATCAACAAGAGAATACCAACTCTTGTCCATCAATCATGTTTGCTTACGCGCGATCGGTCTAAACGCATCACGTGGCCGAATGTCACAGCTGATATTCCCCAATTCGCAAATCTCATATCCACCAGAAGTTCCAGGAGAAGGGACACGTTTGTTTCTTCATTGATTTTAAACATCCCACGCAGCAAATGGTGAGCTGTTCTTAAACATTTTTTCAGCGTGTTACAAAAATATTTGATGGATAATAAACACGGTATCCTCCATTTGGCGCTAAAAATGCACATACTTTTTTCTTAGACGCAACCTGTCTCTGTTAGTTCACAGTTCTCATCGAGCGAAGCTCTCAGTCGGAAAACTGTTTGCATCTCGGAACAGATAATGTCCGCGGACAAGTACATGTATCCGTGTATATTTTTGGGTTAAAGGGAGGTGATTGGTTTATATTTTCATGCTGAAAACAGGAAAACGTAATACTTATCTCAACTGAAAGAGACATGTCTTTAAACATCAACCCAGTAATTATCGAACGCATTTGTGCCGTACAAATCTCAGGCAATTTACAATTCTCTACCAAGGTCCTAAAATTTGGAACTCTCTCCCTATTTCAGTCACTCGTTCGTCAAACTTTCTCAGCTTTAAAACGAAATTTTTAAGAGTTTTTACTTAAATAATCACTGAATTGGCCAAGCTGCACGTTCGCAGCACTTTTTCAGTTACTTGATTTATTATTGTAAGTGAAATGGCTCTCCCATACGCCTGGTGGCTTCTTTGGTGTCCTCGCTTTCTAACTGATATCGCTGTAATTAAATATTTTTATTGTTAAAATAAGGCGATTAAAAGATGATGATGATAATGATAACCCGTCAAAAGCCCTGGAATTTAACTGTCAACCGTCAAAGGCCTTAAAAACTAACCGTCAGCCGTCAAAATAAAAAAAAATCCTCAACTGTCAAGGCTACCCAATCATTTCTGGTCCACATTTCGTATTTATAAAAAGCTTATAATTAAATTTGTTTTTTCGAGATATTGCCTTGAGTTCTCTTTGACTCCCCTTTGTTTTTTTCTGCTTCAGTGCATTCTCCAAAGGGGCAAACAACCATTATATACAGAACACAAAGAAACTCATGCTCACACGAAACTTCTGTTTATTGACTGAAAAACTTTTAGATAAGTGAATACTGAACAAGGAACCCACCCAATATCACGATAGAGGAAATTCATTCGATTCCCCCCTCCAGGAAAAACAGAAACTGCACGCCTCTTGAACAGTCGAAACAGAATGCCAGACTTGGTCGTTAAAAATATAGAACCGGGCGTCAGAAATGCTGTTGACCGCCTCCCGGTTAGCTCAATGGATAGAGCGCTGGACTGTAGTGCAAGAGGTCGAGGGTTCGAGCCCCGGCCGGATCAACACTAAAGGTCTTAAAATAATTGAGAAGAACTTGCTACCTTTCTATAACATCAAGAAATGGTTAGGTATTCTAGTCTTCTCGGATAGGGACGAATAAATGGAGGTCTCCTGCAGGGTTGGGGCAGGAGACGTTAATTTCCCACACACGAGATTACTGTGGGATGGGTGGGTTAGGACAGCAGGTCCACATCAGCTATTACAGCTGCCAATTAATCAACCTGCTTAAACAAATAAATGAACTTCAACTGTTCTTTTGTTCAGATGTCTTGATCTGGATGATCAATATCACAGGTTTTTCAGCAAATTATGCAAAGTTTGTTCCCTAAATGATTTCGTTAAATTGTTTCGAGTTTGAAAGATATATACTTTTCAATGATTTTTTTGCTTCTTCTGTTTCCCGTTGTTTTTCCCTTCCTGATCTAGACGATCATCATTGATTACAACGTGTTCTCCCAGAATGCAGCCGCCGAGTAAAGTCAGTCATTTAGAAAACATAGAGAAGGTTTGCTGACACTAACGGTAAAGGCGCATTTAGCGCTCCAGTGGGAAACATCGCCTATAACTCTTGAACTTACAAACCTTCGCAGTAGAGCGACAGGAAAATACTGCACTTAATTATAAACCATCGAGGAAAAAAGGACCTTAGCTTGAAATTTTGCGACTACACTTAAAAAGCTCAAAATCACTCCACCGACAACCAAAATAAAACATTTCCATACCAATTCTTGGCGGGAAAAGACAGATCAGTTCATATCATAGAGGCTATTTGGAAAACACTACCCTCGTCCACCCTGGGGACTCCATAGAAAAAGAAACTGTAGCTTTTCTGTGCAGACAAAGTTTCGGATTATTTTGAATGAAGGAAACACTGTAACAACTGTGAAAAGAATGAAAATAGATGATCCCGAATCCCCTGGGTTTGGTTGGTAGCATACTCCACTAAATGGATGGCAACACGAAAGAAGCCCACGCTTCATCGCAGTGACGGTTAATTTATCTCCTCTTTGAGGAAAACATGGATTAACTTTGAATCAACTGTAGTTTGGCAGAAACAGTCAGCAGAAGACCACAGTTGTAAAAAGCCATCATTTAGACATAAGTTGACCTAAAATCAGCATTAAAATCAGTTGACACATTATGTTTGAAGAGTTCTATTTATGTGTGACAGAGCATTTTTGTGGCCTGCGCATCTAGCTACGTCTTTAAATCAGCCAAACTTACTCAGTCACGCAATATTCGTTCTCGTTCCCACACACCGTTTGGAATCTCTTTATCGTCAATCGACTTGTGTTTAATGGTCAGTGTTGGGAAGCCTGTTTCATTCATAAAAGAGGACAAAATCATGCTGCAACGCAGGATAATTTTTTTTTGTGCCCCTTTGTTCATAAAGACGTTTATGTCTAACATGAAAATGTCACAAAAGAGTTTCCAAGATTTTTCTTTTCTGTCAGCTTTATTAGGAGCCCATGATAACGGGCTCCTGGCTTTATCTATTACTTTCAATTCAAATAGCGTGCTGTCTGACAAAGAACATCAGGAAATTTGTAAACAAAATCATTCTTGTTAGGTCTCAATTTCTATAGTGCAGCTACCGGCAAACGTGTTTGGCGCACTAGAGGCCAACCTTGACAGGGAATTCGAAGGGCTCACCAATTGAAAGTTAATTAATAAAAATTGAAAAAGCGATTTGGAAAATTTCGAATAAAGCTTTTTGATCACCTAGTAGTAACATTTTGTCATAGTTTTAAATTTTATGATCGAGCATTTTTCAGGTTGTAATTGAATAGTGTAGAGAGATCCCCAGTAAACGACAAACCATGTGGGTGTGCCACAAGAGGAAACTGAATAATGTTTGGGTAGGAGTGTGTGATGAGTAATTTCAATCTTAGTATTTTCCATGCACCTGTTACTGAGCACAAGGATTTAAAAAATTCCGTCCGTCGCGTGTAACTGCATCGAGTACTCAATACCAAAAAGAAAAAATGTTAATCATCTTAAAAAGAAATGAAAAAATTAGGAACGTTTTCAAGCTTTCTGAAGCTGTTGTTTTTATTTTTTTTCTCTTTTCTCTCCCTTCAACTACGCTAACCCTGTGTAATTCTTCCGTGAAATGAACGCAGTTTAATTTTGAAACGCCAAGGAGGCAGAGTGACCGAACGCCGACAAAAACCCTGATTAGCCAGATAGCCATCGTGCACCAAAAGGGTGAAAACAATACATCGCATGTTATACAGTGTTGTCTCGGACTCATACGAGTTTTGTACGATGAGAAACCGACAAAATAACAATAATGAAATAAACAAAGATACTTTAGTCCTTCTTCCAGGTATTTCAGGATAGAAGGGTTAGGGCTCTTGCAGTATAATGGCTCATTGGTCAAGCAGTCTAATTCGGCAAGCAGGCGCTTATATGATTGAGTGCACGTGCTTATATGATAGAGAACACGTGTTTATATGATTGAGTGCGCGTGCTTAAATGATTGAGTGCACGTGCTTATATGATTGATTGCACGTGCTTATATAATTGAGTGCACGTGCTTATATGATTTAGAGCACGTGCTAAAATTTTTGAGTGCACGGGCTTATTTTATTGAGTGCACGTGCTGATATTGATGGGGCAAAGACTTCAACCGGCAACCAATCATCGGCAAGTGAACTGCAGTGTCGGTATAGAGCTGATGAAGGCCTATTTTTTTTTTTTAGTGCCAAGCATTGAGCGTCAGGAAACTTTTTTTTTTTTTTCCACAACTGATTGAATCCTTAAAATACGGGATCTAGACAGTTCAAAACGATCTAATTCAAATCATTGGATTCTGATCTCGTACGTGAAAACTATCATGACCCCATGAGTCATTCGGTGGAGGGATTTAGGAAAAAGGAAATAATCTCTGCTAGACTACAATATCCATGATTTCTCTCTATTAATAAAGAGGCAGCACAGCAAGTAATCTAAACGACATCTGGCGAGGCTTTAAACGTGAAATCCAACTCGTTACTTGCCTCTGAACTTGTTCTATCTTAGGTTTAATTGACTTCTGCGCAGGAGACCAGGCAGTTGGTAGCATAACAAAGGTGGGACCTTCTCACTGCGACTTAATAGGGCATGATCTCTTCAGCTGCCCGAGGAGTTAATTAGCTTTTTCCCAGAGTAATAAGTTGCAAATAGGACCCCCAAGCAAGCTTGTTCAAAATAATAATACCCAGGTCTTGCTCAAGTAACTTTACGGAGCCTGAAAAATAGTCTTGAAGTAACGGCCTTTACTTCTAAAATCGAACTGTATTCTCTTGCTTTGAATCATCGTTATATTGTAACTATGACTGCGTGGCTCTGAAGGCTTGTCCGTCGCGTCTCGCTCTGGCGAAAGGAGGAAATGAAAACTAATAATTCTAAAACTTTGGCCATCTGAGGAAAATTGAATGTTGACCTCTTACTGGAGCCTGCTTATGGATGCAAGCAAAATATGCAGATTCTGCATAGCTTTATGCGTTCTTTGGACTTGTCTCAAATTATAACCGAGCCAACTCGCATCGCCGAAGAGTCCAAATCGTTAATAGATGTGATCCTGGTTAATAATCAGCACCGAATTGTTGATAGCGGCGTTGTGTCCCTATCAAAAAGCGATCATTCACTAATTTATTGTGTGCTAAAAGCTGGTGTCCCAAAGGCCACACCGAGGATAATAGAATATCGGTCATTCAAAGCATTTGACGAAAATTCCTTGATCCAAGACTTAAAAAGTGTTCCGTGGCACATTGTCGACA